TCCATTTTTGATAAAAACTCTCAGCAAAGTAGGACTAGAGGGAGCATATCTCAACATGATAAAAGCCATATATGACAAACCAACAGGCAACATTATACTTAATGGGCAAAAACTAAAAGCATTTCCCCTAAGAACAGGAACAAGATAAGGATATCTGCTTTCACCACTCATATTCAACATAGTAATGAAAGTCCTAGTCACAGCAATCAGACAAGAAGAAATAAGAAGCATCCAAATTGGAAATAAGGAAGTAAAACTCTCATTATTCACAGATGAGATGATATTGTATATAGAAAACCCTAAAAACTCCACCAAAAACTACTAGATCTAATAAATGAATTTGGCAATGTAGCAGGATACAAAATCAACACCCAAAAATTAATAGCTTTTTTATAAACCAATAATGAATTATGAGAAAGAGAAACTAAACAAAGAATCCCACTTACCAATCGACAAAAAAATTAAGATACTTAGGAATAAACCTAACCAAGAAGGCAAAAGAACTGTACTCAAAAAACTATAGGATGTTAAAAAAAAAAAAAAAAAAAAAAAGATAGAGGAAGATATAAACAAGTGGAAGAATATACTGTGTTCATGGGTTGGTAGAATCAGCATCATTAAAATGTCCAAACTACCCAAGACAATCTACAGATTCAATGCAATCCCTACTAAAATACCAACGGCATAATTCACAGAGCTAGAACAAACTCCCCCCAAATTTATATGGAATCAAAAAAGACCGCGAATAGCTGCAGCAATTTTATGAAAGAAAAACAAAGTTGGAGGAATCACAATACCAGATTTCAAGTTATACTACAAAGCTACTATAATCAAAATAGCCTGGTACTGTCACAAGAACAGGCATGTAGGTCAATGGAACAGAACAGAGAACCCAGAAATTGACCCAAGCCATTATGCTCAATTAATATTTGACAAAGGAGGCAAGAGCATACAACAGAGTCAAGAGAGTCTCTTTCAATAAATGATGTTGGGAAAATTGGACACATGTAAAAAAAAAAAAAATGAAACTAGACCACAAACTTAACAAAAGAATAAATTCAAAATGGATAAAAGACTTAAATGTCAGTCATGAAACCAAAAAAATCCTAGAAGAATCCATAGGCAGCAAAATCTCAGACATCTCTAGTACCAGGTGTTCACAGATACATCTCCTTAGGCAAAGGAAACTAAAGAGAAAATAAATAAATAGGGCTACATCAAAATAAAAAGCTTTTGCATAGCAAAAGGAACCATCAACAAAATGAAAAGAGAGCCCACTGTATGGGAGAACATATTTGGCAATGACACATATGATAAAGGATTAATATCCAAAATATATAAGGAACTCATACAACTTAACAAAAGGAAGGCCAGCAATCCAATTAAAAAATGGGTATAAAACCTAAATAGAACTTCTCCAAAGAGGACATATAGATGGCCAAGAGACATATGAAAAACTAGAGGCCAGGTGCACAGAGAGGGGCGGGGGGAGAGGGGAAGTAGGGAGCTCTTCAGCCCAGCCTGCACCTCTCACAATCTGGGACCGCTGGCTCCTAACCGCTCGCCTGCCTGCCTGTCTGATCGCCCCTAACCACTCTGCTTGCTTTCCTAACCTCCCCTAACTGCCTCTGCCTCTACCCCTGCCACCGCAGCTTTGTCCGGAAGGACATACGGAACAATGTCCAGAAGATCATTAGGCTACCTGGTCTAATTAGCATACTACACTTTAATTATTATAGATGCTCAAAGTCACTAATCATCAGAGAGATGCAAATTAAGATGACAATGAGGTATCACCTCACACCTGTCAGAATGGCTATCATCAACAAATCAACAAATGACAAGTGCTGGCGAGGTTGTGGAGGAAAGGGAACCCTAGTACATTTTTGTTGAATTTGGTGGTGGGAGTGCAGACTGGTGCAGCCATTATGGAAAACAGCATGGAGTTTCCTCAAAAAATTAAATATGGAACAGCCATTTGACTGAGTGATCCCATTTCTAGGAATATATCCTAAGAAACCAGAAACACCAATCAGAAAGAATGTATGCATCCCTATGTTCATAGAAGCATAATTTATAATAGCTAATACTTGGAAACAGCCCAACTGCCCATCAGTAGGTGAGTGGATAAAAAAGCTGTGGTACATTATACTATGGAATACTATACAGCAGTTAAAAAAAAAGAATCTCTTAACCATTGAGACAGCATGGAGGGACCTGGAAAGTACCATGCTATGTGAAATAAGTCAATCAGAGAAAGAGAAGTATCACATAATTGCACTCATATGTGGAATCTAAATAACAAAATAAACTGATGAACTGAGTGGATCCAGAGACATGGAAGCATGGAACAGAGTGCAGAATTCCAGAGGAAAGCTGCAGGGGGGGAGGAGGAGTGTGAGAGGTATTCAACCAAGACTATGCATATATGCATAATCCATGGATACAGACAATAGGGTGCTGAAGGCCTGGGGTGGAAGGAGGTGTTGGCTGGAGGGAATCAATGGGGAGAAAAGAGGGATATACAGTATGTAATACTTGCAACAATAAAGGATTATCTTTAACTATAGACCTGGTGTATGAAATTCGTGCACGGAGTCTGTCCTGCACCCTCTCCAATCTGGGAATGTCCAACTGCCGGTTTGTACCCGCAATTTTACCTGATGACAGCTCCATTGTTGTTTCTTTCTTTTCATGCTTAAATCCATTGAAATTAATAGGTATTCAAAGTGTGTATACATTTTGAGGGGACACCCTGTATATCTCCAGTCAGCGGTGAAAGGAACCAATAGCGGATCTGGAATCCCCAGACAGGGAACCTCGCTCACTCCCACATATCTCCCCACTGCACTTTCCACCTTTGCGTGCAGCAGGAGAATCAATGTTTTCTCTCATTAACTCAGAAAAGCACGTGCTGCCCGGCAGGAGTGCACTAGGCCCCAAGCGAGTGAGGCTCAGTCAGGGCAGCCTTCGCTCATGGGTGCCGGCTCCCAAAGTGCACATTCCTCCTCTGCAGTCACCCTGACTATCCCACCGTTTCACTGAGAGGACAGAACTCCTCGCCTCCTCTGGGTCCCAATCTTGAACACTGGCCCAAGGCACCTCAGCAAGGGCCCCCTGTGCCCACCAGGTGTGTCTGTCCACACCTGCTCCCGCCTCAGCACCTGCATTAGCCCCACGGAGGTGATCTCATCACTGCACCGGCCTCCGCAGGAGCAGGCCATCACCACTCCGCCCTCTCATTTCATCTCACAGGCACCCGCCTTCAGCACCGAGAACACCCGGACACTCTCCAAAGGACGTGAGTGTGCCGGAGTGGACGTGCACATGTCCTGTGGGGAATGTAGGCATGCATGGAGGGGCAGGGGAGAAACTTGTGAGCACCATGGTCCAGGACTGTTGCAGGCACATGTGGGTGACAGCACACTGGGGGACATTAGCCCGCCAGAGGGGGAGGACAGGATGCACAAACCAGAGGCCTGCGGCTGTGCAGATCCACAAACCCCTGTGGTTTGGCCGGGAGGATGTCAATCTGGCCCACCACGACGAATGACTGTCCCTACGATCGATTGCACACCTCTGGGCCAGGAGACGGGACTTGTGCAGCCACTCATCACCGCTGATGACCTGCAGGCACTACTTCAGGTCAGCCTGCAGGCTTCGCTTGGCACGCTCACAGCTGCCACCACTGTCATGTGGGGAGTATAGGCCACCCTGCCGCTTCCCTGCCCAGATGCTCTCTGCACATGCTGCCCACAGGAAGCGGAGGCAGGGCTGGGCGGAATGCCTGCATCATCACTGTGGCAATGATGCAAGTATCCTGGCTGAGCCACTGCCATCTTTGTCAGAGTGACCCTCAATTTGCATATACCCTTTTTATTAGATGGAATAATAAAAGTCTGATATGCAAATTGACCTAACAAACAAACAGCAGAATGACCGTCCAGATAACCATGCTATGACATGCACTAGTGCGGGTGCTCTGCGATTGTGGGGCCCCATCACCCCACGATCGCCCTGCAGAGGGAGGCCCAGGCTACTCAGCCAGCAACACTGTGGCAGGTGTACAGGGCCAGCCAGTGATCACTCCTCAGAGGGAGGCCCAGACCAGCCAAGCAATCGCACCCCAAGCCTGTCACTCTCAGAGGGAGGCAACCAGTGGCGGGTGAGCCGGGGTGGGGGTGGGGTTAGGGACAGTGCTGCACAGGTGGCAAGCAGTGGCAGCAGCAGGGGTGGTGACAGCATTTGTCCCCAATAGGCCCTGATCACTGGCCAGGCCTAGGGACCATACCCAAGGGGTCCCAGATTGCGAGAGGGCACAGGCCGGACTGAGGGACACCCTCTCCCTGTGCACAAATTTCATGCACTGGGTCTCTAGTAAAAAAAGTGAAAATATGTCTTATTTCAATTGTAATTTAAAAACTAACACACAATTGATTAATTACAGTCTATCTTTCCTGCCAGAGCACATCCTCTAGTTGGCCAGGGACACTGCCTTATTCACCACTGTGACTAAGGAGAGTAGCAGTGCCTTGAACACAAGAAATGTTCAATATGTATTTGCTAACTGCAGGAATAAGTGAAGGAGAGATAGAGAGCTAGAAACATCAATGAGAGAGAGTCATCGATCAGCTGCCTCTTGCACAAACCTACTGGGGATATGCCCTTGACCGGAATGGAACATATCCCCAGTAGGGGGTGTGCAAGGGCCCCCAATGGCAGGAAGAGGATGAGTTAGGAGAGCACTATCACCATCAGGGCCTGTGGGGCAACAGGGAACCCAGGGGGCTAAGCGGAACATTAGGTAGCTCTTATGAGCACTTATGAGAACAAGCTTCTAAGCGGGGCCCCTTGGGCACAGGGAAGCCAGCTTGGTGCCCCCAGGGCCAAGCATCACCAGAAGGGCTGCTTCTAAAGGCTGCCTTCCGAGGAATGGAGAGAATGACTGCCCAGGGTAGGGAGAAGCCCCCGATCAGGTGGGATTGGGTGGCAGCACCCACCTGCTAAAGATGTCTCCAGAGATCTTCTGTAGGTACTGCAGGGCGTCTGCTACCTGCTGGATGGCCTCCTCCCGCCGCAGGTCCGGCTGGATGAGGGGCACTGTGTAGGTCTGTCCTGCCAATGAGTGCTGGGTCCTCATGGGAGTCATGATACCTGTGGGTGGGAACCAGAGCATTAGGACTTGTGGGGTGAGTGCCACACACTCACCCACCCCCACCTACCACAAGGCAAGGTACAGAGAAGACAGCACAGCCCCACCCCACAAGTCCAACCTGTACAGGCGGGGAGTAGGGGACAGCGTTTGGTGGGAGGCCAGGAACCCACAGGAGCTGGTCTTCTGTGCTTACTGAGTGAATGAAGGAGGGAAATTGGTAGGGACAACAGAGGCTGATGAGAAGCGTTCTGAGGTGTAACACTGACCCCATAAGTTGCTTAGGACCATGCTAGACACCCTCATTTTACGTTATCTCATTCCATCCTCCTCAGCCTGGAGAACAAGAAAGAAACTCTTGTTGCAGATGAAAAAAAAGCCTGGGAGCAGAATACATTTGGATGGGAGGAGGGAGGACTGCCACAGTTAACTACCAAATGGCACCCATGTCTGAAAACCAGAGAAGGTGGACTCCTGGGTTCCTCTCACTTTGGCCTCTGAGGGACTGAGGGCCTGTCCCTGAGATAGGACAGGCAATGGCTCATGACTCTAGGTATAAGTGTCCAAGTTCTGCTCATCAAGGCTAGAGCTAAGGGGGGCCAGGAAGAAGGGGCATGTGGGTGTGGGAAACAGGAAGGAAAAACACTCGTTTGAATTGTAAGACAGGGCAGAGTCTATTTATACTGGGTTTAATTAACTCCACTCCCTGGTGTCACTAAAGCAGCAATCACACTGCAGACAGCACAGATTTGATTGGCAAGAGATGCACCAGGCAGAATATTAAGGCACTGGGCCCCTATAAATAGGCCTAATCACAGCCCCTTGGAAGAAGATGGTGAGGAAGACACTAATCAGGCCTGGCACTGTGCCCCACACCTGTTTTCCTAGGCACCATGTAGGGGCCCCTAGTTGCAAAGAGGTGTGAGTGGGGCTGAGTGAATGTGGCAGAGAGGGCTTAGGGAGGGCTTGAAGTGCTATGTGACCTTGTGTAAGTTGCTTGCCTTCTCTGAATATCTGACTCTATTTCCCATTCTACACATAGAGAGGGTCACTGCTAAGTAGTTAGTCCTAATGTATCACACCAACATCTTCAACAAGCAGGTGTGCTTACTCCTTTGCTCCCTCTGCCGGCCTTCCCAGCCCTTCCTTCTACCCTACTTGTCTCCTACCCTTCTCAGGTCAGCACTTTTCGTCCTCTGAGACTATTGCTCTGCTCTCCAACTTGTCTTCCAGTAAAGATATCCTCAGTTTAGCAGAAACCGGTTTGGCTCAATGGATAGAGTCAGCTTGGGGACTGAAGGGACCCGGGTTTCATTCCGGTCAAGGGCATATCCCCCCCAGTAGGGGGTGTGCAAGAGGCAGCTGATCGATGACTCTCTCTCATTGATGTTTCTAGCTCTCTATCTCTCTCTCCCTTCCTCTCTGTACAAAATCAATAAAATATATTTTTAAAAATTTAAATATATATATATAAAATTTAAATATATATATATAAAAGACATCCTCAGTTTCTCAGACCTGACCTGCCTTGAATCCTTATCAGAGCCCAGTGCTACCTCCTCATCTCCTCACTTCCCTCCTATCAAATGACCAAAGTGGGGCAGTTATTCCTATCTGAAGAATCTAGGAATTCTAGAAGGAATCCCATTTCTTTCAAGGAGAATCCTACTGTGTGTGTGTGTGTGTGTGTGTGTGTTTTAAACTTCATTAAAGTATAATTTTCCATTGATTTTACACACACCTCAGTTGCAGGGCTGGGGAGGAACCTGCAACCAAGGTATGTGCCCTTGACTGGAATTGAACCCAGGATCCTTTGGTCCTCAGGCTTACGCTCTATCCACAGAGCCAAACTGGCTAGGGTCTTTGTATTTATATTGATGCAAATTTGCTGGCCATCCTAACAGTTCTGTACTTCAATTTTCCCTTCTTTAAGATGGGGAGGGGATTAAAAGCAGAAGACACTTTTCTGTGCACATCTTTTTTGTTGTTGTTGCTGTTAATCCTTACCAAAGGATATTTTCCCCATTGATTTTTTTAGAGAGTGGAAGGGAGGGAAGAAAAAAGGGAGAGAGGAAGAGAGATACAGAGACAGAGAAATATTGATTGGTTGCCACACACACTAGGTTTTGGGGATGCACCTGCAACCCAAGCACATGCCCTTGACCAAGAATCAAATGTGAGACCCTATGGTGTGTAGGCTGACGCTCTAACCACTAAGCACACTGGCCAGGGCAGAGCACATCTTGAAATGCATTTTTGAGGTTATTTACCACATGTCTGTGTGTATGTACACTTATGTACAAGGAAGTAATTCAGGCACAAATCTCCAGGACAAGAAAGTAACAGATCCATTCAAAAATTTAAAAAATGAGTATAACTGATTGGTAGTTTACTCATTCTGACTGCAAACATCTACTGATTGGAAACTATTAGGTGCCCGCCATGATCACAACAAAGATGACATGATATTTTTTATGCATACATATCTATGATAAAGTTTGATTTGTAAATTAGGCACAGTAAGAAATTAATAACAATCATGAAACAATTATAACAAGATACTATAATAAAAGTTTGTCTGAATCGCCAAAACCGGTTTGGCTCAGTGGATAGAGCGTTGGTCTTCGGACTGAAAGGTCCCGGGTTCGATTCTAGTCAAGGGCATGTACCTTGGTTTCGGGCACATCCCTGGTGGGGGATGTGCAAGAGGCAGCTGGTCGATGTTTCTAGCTTTCTATCCCTCTCCCTTCCTCTCTGTAAAAAAAAAAAAAAAAAAAATATATATATATATATATATATATATATATATATATATATATATTTTTTTTTTTTTTTTTTTTAAGTTCATCTGAATGGCTTCGGGGCAAAATAAAGGTTGCTTGAATGCAAGCACTGTGGGTGGCACTTTGCAGATGACCTGATAACCTCGTCAGCTGTTAAGTGACTAAGGGGTGGGGAGCAACTAGAGGGGGACATCTTTGAGATTTCAATATGCCCCTCAAAATGGGGTGCAACTTACAATTTGTGAGTTATTTCTGAAATTTTCCATTTAATATTGGCAAACTGTGGTTGACCCAGGATAACTGAGACCATGAAAAGCGAGACCGGGGGTAAGTTGGGAACGACTGTATATATAGTGATTACATGCTGAAATGATCATATTTCAGCCATACTGAGTTAAATAAAACATATAACTAAATTAATATCACTTGTTTCTTTTTACTTCTATTTATTTATTTTTCATCCTCACCCGAAGATGCGTTTTTATTGATTTCAGAGATGGGAGGGGAGTGGATAAAAGAAGACACATCGGTTGCCTCCCCCGCGCGCGACAGGGGATCGAACCCACAACCTGGTTATGTGCCCCGACCGGGATGACACTCCAACCAACCGAGTCGCCCGGTTAATTAATTTCTTACTGGGCTCTTTTTACTTTTAGGATCACATCTGTGGCTCACACATTCCTAAGGAACAGCACTAAGAGAATCTGGTAGGAACTACGGCCTCTTTCCGGAAATGAACGGACCCCCCTCCCGTCCCTATAGCGCCGGTTAGAGTCCTCCCTGCACACCCTCTGGGACCCCGTCTCCCCGAGCCGCGGAGTCCGGGGATCCGCCGGCCCGGCCGGAGCCCAGCCCGCGGGCGGAAGGCGCGTGAGGGGCGGGCGGGCCGCGGAGGAAGTGAGGCCGCGGCCTGCAGCCCGGCCGGTCCCCGCGGGCCTCCAGCGCCGGCTCGGCCTCGCTGCGGGGCGGGGGCCGCGCGCTCGGGGAGAGGAGCCGGGGCCCGCGGCGGTGCAGACCCGTCTTACTGGTGGGAGGAGCCGGGACGCCGCTCCCGGGCGGGCGACGGCGGGGCGAACGGCGCCGTCGATAATCCACCGGGCGCGGGGCTCGCGGTCCGTCCGCCGCGCGAGGACGCAGCTCGCGCCCGCGCTGCGGAGCCCCGCCCCGCCCCGCCCCGCCCCGCCCCTCGCCCGGCGCCGCCCCGCCCTCCGCCCCGCCCTTGCCCGGCCGGCGGGGAGCTCCTGCGGCGGCCCCGCTCCTCACCTGCGCGCCGCGCCCGGCGCCGCCGCTCTGGTTCGCGAGTTCGGGCCCCGATAGCGGCCCAGTTGCACGGAACCCGCGCTCGGGCCGCCGGCGGACGACTCGGCACCGCCTCCGCCCCCTCCCCTCCCTCTGACGCGGCTGGGCTCCTGGCCCCGCGGGCTTCCTGTGCCAGACCCCCAGCGCCGGCGCGGAAACAGCCCTCCCCTCGCCCCAGACTCACTGATTTAAGACGTCTTTTATTTCCTTGTCTTCAATTCCGTGGGCCGTTCTCTCCATGGAATTCCCTTCGTTCCATACCCCTTTAAAAATAAAATAATGTGCCGAGACCGGTTTGGCTCAATGGATAGAGCGTCGGTTTGGGGACTGAAAGGTCCCGGGTTCGATTCCGGTCAAGGGCATGTATCTTGGTTGCGGGCATATCCCCAGTAGGGGGTGTGCAAGAGGCAGCTGATCGATGACTCTCTCTCATCGATGTTTCTAACTCTCTATCTCTCTCCCTTCCTTTCTGTACAAAATCAATAAAATATATTTTAAAAAATAAAATGTCAGACACAAAAGGAAAAGCACTGTGACTCCACTTACTATACAAGGTGGCGGGCGGGTCAAGTTGACGGAGGCAGAGCAGAGTGGTGGCGGCCGGGCGGGGAAGCCTGTGGGCTGGAAGGGGTTGTTTGACCAAACCTGAGCCGGTTCCTGGGACTCCTCTTCCAGAGAGGGGCCTCTGCTTGCATCTCCGAATTACAGTGAGAATCCCCCCACCCTCTGCAGCAGATCATCCAACATATCTGACCAAGTCCCCCAGGATATCTGGTCACCCTGGCCTGCCTTCAGCAAGAATCCAGGCAGGTCAGTTTTGCAAAAATTACTTCACGCTCTGAGTAATTTTCCATTCAGGACCACTGCGCCTTCTCTTTGCTATAAATCCCCGTTTGTTCACATTATATTCGGAAT